CAACTTGCAACAGAGACCGAAGCAAGGAAAGTGTGGCCATCCAGGACTCGCTCCAGTTCACCCTGGACCGGGGCCACGGCCCCTATGGGCGGCAGCGCATTCAATACACCTTGGTTGCGTGGCACAGTTGGCCGCGGCACTTACTCGCGGAACCAGAATGGATGTTGTCCGACTTGGCGGCGTTTGCGGCAGCCTCTCATGATGAGCCTTTGCGCAGCATGCATGTGCTACAAAGCCCTATGCCAGGTATTGCCACGCCGCAAATGGTCGCGACCTCCGTGGATGTTGTGGACCCATGGAGGATCATACCAGTAGACCTCAGACCCATCGGAGGGGACATCTTCTGCCCCCCCCTAGGCCCTGACATGCCGGCAGAGGAGGTCTATGCCAGAATCCGGCCGTTCGTCACCACGAATGTCGCGGTGCAGCTGCGTGTTGAAGGCCACGGACCTGTGTACCTGCAAGACCAGACAGGTGCAGTCTATGATACCCTTCCCGACACACTGGACAACGTGGATTGGCTGGCAGTGCGGCCCCTTCACAGGACTGCACAGGCGTCCCCTACCTCTGAGGGCACCACGACAACCACGACTGGTGTCGTGGCTGGGCCGGTCCGTGTTTTGGTCGCTCTTGTGACCGGCGCCCAGACTTTGCGTACCCTGCCTGTCGAGTTGGAAGCCTTTGACGCCGCGGTGGCCCTGACACGGCTTGTCAGCGCAGTGGCGCGGAGCCGCGCTTTGCCTCCTGGGGGTTTTGTGCAGCAACTCGCGGCCTATCCCTCACAGAGCCCAGACGGTGTCCAATCCATCCCTTTTGTCCTGGCGTCGGGGCGACCGGGCCTTGTTGCAGTGGCGGTCGACATAACCACCTGTGGGCAAGGCATTTACTCTGTGGAGATCCCCGAGAACACTTGGGCCGAGGACCTACTTTTACTTGGTCAATGGCATCCCCTCGCAAGGCATGAGGCGACCGCTCAGGACAGGGGACTACTTGCAACTGGTGCCCAATTCCTGCCGAGGCACTCTCACCGTCTCCCCCGCAACAGTTTGGATGAGGCGGATCAGGCAGCTGCGCTTGTGGGCGCTCCCTGTGGCATTCCCTCCTCTCACCCACGGCCAAGGAGGAATTACCACAGACCTGGCAGAACACGCAGCTAGAGCGTTCTTAAGGTACTACCGCGAGGTTGAGGCGGGGAGGTTGCTAACCTTCGGGTCCTTCGGCCCGGGCAAAGTTGCTATCTGGGTCCTCTCAGCATGGAACCCTCCGATGCTCTTTGCTGCCACCTGCCCTGTGACCCCCACCCTTGCTGAGTCCGAGCAAGCGCTGCGTTCTTCAGGTGTCATAGCGGAACCTCATCGAGGGCGAACGCCCGATAAGCTTGACCGATTCAGTTGTCATCCAAGTGACCGCTGCCGACCCCTATCGCACTCTGCTGCTTCCAGTCCCTGGCGATCCGGAGTTCTTCATGGTGACTGCCATTAACCCGCTGGCCCCGATTGAGCCCACACTGCATGTCCTGCCGAGGCTTCCTTACACAACGGTATTCCCCCCCGCCGAGGTTAAGGATGGAGCGGTTTTTAGGATCCGGGTTCCCGCGGGGGCCGTTTCAGTCCAGGCGCGAGTTCGGCCCCGGCCAGAGTCAACAGGAAGCGCCACCAGCAGTCTTAGCCTGCTTCAGGCTGGTGCCCGACTGTCCAGGACGAAGGCAGCCCAGGGGTCGCACGAGCATCCTGCCCCGCCCTGCATCGTTCCCACGCCACATGGCAGGAGGCGCCTTCCTGCCAAGGACGCCCCAGTGGTACAATCTGAGATGGCGACATCCGGCGAGGGCTGTCTGCGTACAGCCGCACCCTCGCGAGATTGTTGCCCATGCCCTGGCCTCATTTGCACAGAGACCAACTGACTTGGTTCCTAGGGCTAAGCAACTTCTGCCGATTGCAAGGAGAACATGGCAGCTTCTCGAGCCGATCGACCCCCGGTCGCCTATACAGGCCATGCTTATCTACACGGACGGCTCCTACTGCCCCCAGCTCCAGCATGCCAGTTGGTCCGCTGTGATCACTGCACAACAGGAGAACCGCCCCTGCAAAATTGGTGCTTTAGCTGGGAAAGTACCTCCTTCGGATGGACCCGCAAGTGCCTTCAGAGCCGAGGTTTGGGCGCTACTTCATGCTGTTGCCTATGTTGCTGCTAACGGAATCATGCGAGCTACGATTGCGTCGGATTGCCAGTCTGCCCTCGATATTGTCTTCGGCGTAGCCCGCTGCGACCCAAGTGACAAGGCGGGTAGAGCTGCACAAAGCCTGCTGCTTTTGGCTCGTGCGCAGGGATCCGTGCTTTGCCCGCTTAAAGTGGAGGCGCACTGCGGACTGCCCCTCAACGAGGCTGCGGACGCCGTCGCCAAGACGGCCAATCAGCAACAGGCTCACCCGGACTTCAGCTTCGAGGCTCCAGATCTCCTTGCCTGCATTGCAGATGGCACGGTCGAAAGACTCTGGATGATCCATGCCCACCAGTGCATGCCGGCACAGCTCCCTCACCTTGGCGACAGTGGCGAGTGGGGGCTGCCGTCCTGCAATCTTAGCCCCGCCACTCGCGCGACCTCAGTTTCTTTTTGCACCCAGCCACCAGAGTGTGAACAATGGCAGTTGGCACTCAACCTCATTACTTACAACTGCCTCTCAGCCCGGAGTCGCGCAGCCAAAGCCCTGCTCGACCAGGGCTTACACCACAGACAATGTGCCCTCGCAGGACTCCAAGAGACCCGCGACCTCGAGGAAGGTGTGCAGACGACTGAGCATTACTGGGTTGTTTCCTCGGGCTGTGACAAATCGGGCGCTGGCGGCTGTCAGGTTTGGATTTCCAAGTGCCTCCCGTGGGCACGCGCCGGTGAGCAGATGATGCAACCGGCGCGTGACAGCATCTGCGTCTTGTTTGCTTCGCCGCAGCTGCTCATTGTGCTTTTCCGTGTTGGCACCCTTAAGGTTGCATGCGTGGTTGCACACGCCCCTACCTCCACCGCCCCACAGCCAGTGATCGATCAGTGGTGGAAGGATCTCAGGGAAGCTAATCTTCGGGTACCGCCCGGGCACATCCGCATCTGCATGATCGACGCCAATGCTTCCTTCGAGTCACACCCGGACAACCCCAGCACCATTGAGGCCACTCCCTCTGGGGCTAACTCCTCCTGTTTCCAGGCCTTTTGCCAGGACTTCTGTCTGTGCCCTTCGGCGCAACGAGATGTGTCCGGAAACCGGCTTTTCTCCTGGACCAGCCCTGGGGGTGAGCTTAAGCGGCTCATCGACTACGTGTGTGTTCCGGATGCTTGGAAAGAGGGGTTTGCCACAATGCCAAACTTTTGTCTGGGGGATATCCGAGCTGGATTTGACCATTCCCCCGTTCAAGGACGGCTGCGAGCCCAGATCGAGGCCCCGCCTGCCAGATGCCCTCGGCGTTTCTGTGTTGAGTCTTTCCACACGCCCGAGGGCCGGGCGGCTGCGGCGACTGCCCTTGCTACGATGCCTCAGGTTCCCTGGGAAGTCGATGCGACTACTCACCTCGACTGCCTCCTCAGACACGCGCAAGCCTGCTTGAGCGCACACCTACCTGCGCCCGTCAAGAAACCGCGGAACCCGGCTATCTCTGACAAGTCCCTCGAGCTCATCCTCACTAGGCGTCGTGCGCGCACTGTCAGAGATCGCTTGCGCTGTCAGTTGACATCTACCTTGCTCTACCACTGCTTCGCTGCGTGGAGGGGACGGACTGGCCACTCTGCAAGCAGACTGATGCAAATTGCCGGCCTTGCAGATCGCACTGCCAAGGCAGCCTTTTCCTACTGCGCTCTCAACAAGGCCGTGCACGATGGCCTGGCTGCGGACCGAGCGGCTTTTGCGCGAAGGGCCATCGACCATGCGAGAGGCATGGGTTCAGCAGAGTTCGCGCACCACTTGCGAGCTGTGCTGCGGACTGGCAGGCGGTATCGGGCCCCACAACTCCTCAGGCCTCTCCAATGCGATGCCCAGACTGCCCAGACAGCAGCATGTGATACCGACATCCTGGCCGCGCTGGGAAAACACTTCGCCGCGCCTGAGCGGGCAGCTCTACTCCCCAGTTCCGAACTGGCGGCCAAGTTTGATGGGGCCACTCCCCTAGCCGAGGGCACGGATTTCGAAAAACTGCCCACCTTATCCGACCTTGCAGCCGGGGTCTTGGCGTTGAAGCCACGCAAGGCAGCGGGAGTTTCAGGATTGGCCGCCGAGCTTTTCCGTGCCGATGCCCTCGCTTCTGCTGCGGTGCTTTTCCCCTGTTGGCCAAGACGGCGGTCAGAGGCACAGGTCCAGCGCAACACAACGGGGGCCTGGCCCGGGCGATCCCTAAGGGCAAGCTGCAGGCGAGCAACCCAGGCGGATGGCGGTCCATCCTTCTTTTGGAGCCCTCCGCCAAAATCATCCAACAGGCCTATAGGCCCCAGCTTATCGCCTTTCTGGAAGGCCACAAGTCACGGTGCCAGTTTGGGGGCCTCCCGAATCGACGCCTCGAGCAGCCCAGTGCCATTGTGCGTTCGCACTTTGCCATGCTAAGAGCCACCGCACAAGTCGGCGGTGCGGTCTTCATTGACAGCCGTGCTGCCTATTATTCCATCATACGGGACTCCCTCGTCGCGAGCAGAGTTGAGCTTACCACGGCAGAGCTCCGCTGCCGCGCTCAAGCTCTGTTTCCGTTCAGCGACGATCAGGAGTCTTATGTCAGGCACATGCAGGCTGGCGGCATTGTGCGCGCCCTCCAGCTGCCGGAGCCCCTAGTGCGTTACCTGGAATCCCAGTTGGGAACCACTTGGTTTTCCATGGCCAATCCCATCAATGCAGCCTATGTGGCCGATAGTGGGACCGCCCCAGGGTCTCCTATAGCTGACGTGCTCTTTTCATTTGTGTATGCTCGGTTTCTGACCCAGGCAGAGGACTTGCTAATCCAGGAAGGTCACTACGTGCGCCTCTGCACCACTCAGTCCCCTGAAGCCGTGCCCACCTGGGCCGATGACACCGCTTTTTTACTCGGCCCAATCGCACCTGTATCTCTCGCCCCCTCCCTCCGACGTGTGGCTGAGATCATTTGCGGCGGGCTACGCCAGGCAGGTCTTGAGCCGAACCTCTCTCCGGGCAAAACTGAGGCGGTGATTCACTTTGGCGGTCCAGGGCACCAGGCATGCCGACGAGCCCTGCTGTGCGTGACGAATCCTGGGGTCACCTTCTCGCAAGATGCTGAGCGTAGCGGGCACCTGCGAGTGGTTCCGCAGTATGCACACCTCGGCACCATCATTTCCTATAATGGAGCCGAGGGCCCCAACCTGCTGCATCGAGCTGCCCTTATGCGACAGATCTTTAAGCCCGTACGCAGCCGTCTCTTTTACAATCCCCACCTCTCCCTCAAGGAGAAGAGACGGCTCCTCGAGGAAAGGGTTTTCCCCAGGTTCCTCTACGGGGCGGGGCTGTGGTGCCCGCGCACGGCGCATGAGGCCGAACTGGTCGTTGACCCCATCCACACTGCCATGCGCAAATCATTCCGCCCACTGCTGGGTTTGTCCTCGGCCGGCTTTTCCAACGACGAGGTTGCTGCAGCCCTGCAGATGCCTACTCCGGCCGAACGCCTACACCATGCAAGGGCATCGGCCCTCCTTGTGCTCTTGGAGACCGGCTCAGCCGAAACCTGGGCGAACTATGAGGCAGACGGCACGTGGCTCTCAATGGCCTGGCGGTCGCTCCAAACGGTTTGCGGGGAACGTTTGCCGGTGTCCCTATGTTGCCGCAAACCGCCTCGCCCAGCCGAGATTACACAGGCCCTTCCGGGGGGGGTTGCCGGCAGTCGCAGGCTCTGCAAGAGCTACCTGCGTACATGTGTGGCACAACGCGCTCCTGTGCAGCTGAGCGAGCGCAACCCCGAGGAGGCATCAAGGCCTGAGTTTGCAAGTGCTTCCCACCCTGCCCTCAGCTTCACGTGTGAGTTGTGTGGGGCGGCTTTCTTGAACCGCCGCAGGCTGGCAGTGCACCTTGCGAGGATGCACCGCATACGTTCCAAGGCCGCCTCCACCGCCTGGGGCACACGGTGTGAGCGATGCCAAACAGAGTTTTGGGACGTCGCCCGGCTCTCCGAACACCTGCGACGCTCTGAGGTGTGCCAGGCTGCCTACGACCATTCGGACCTTGCTCCAACCAGTTCACAGGTTACAGGCAAGACACCGCCAGCGTGGCAGCCCGCTACGAGGGTTCCTGGGCCTATGCCCTTCTGGGCTACGCTTTCGCCAGCTGTGGGGACTTAGGCGTAGACAGAAACGCCGCTTTTAGGCGCTTTAGGCCCCGTCTGGCCCTGACTTTTGCACCAGGGCCTTCGGGATGTTTTCTTGCTGTACAGAATGCAAAGCACCTCCCTGGAGGCGGAATTTGGCGCGCGCCGACTTGGCACAAGCAAGACCGAGAAAAAAACCCTAAACCCAAACTCCTAAACTCTAAACTCTCCCTCAGCCCATGACCCGTAACAGAAGAATAAACTAATAGGGCTGAACTAAAGGGAAGCCCAGACTCCACGAAGGAGCCCGCATGATTTCAGAAGTGGGACACCCGACAAAGCCCGGCCAATGAGGGGCCTTACTAAGTTAAACCAAGGTCTTGGAGTATGCTATAACAAATTTTAGGGTTTAGGGTTTAGGGTATAGTACATAGTTTGCTTTTGCGCTGGTCCCAGGTTTTCAGTCGAGATTGCGCCCCTCCGCTGGGCACATTTGGAGGCTCCTATGCTCGGGACACGGCTCGCTGAGGACAATCTGCCCAGTGTACCTCAAAAAAGACTGACAGAATGATAGCCAGAAGCCCCTAAACCCTAAACCCTAAAGGGCCTAATCACAACTCGCAGTTGAAGGATCCAAACCTTGGCGGGCACTTCCAGCAGGTCGTTCCCTCTGAGATCATGTCATGTCATGTCATCTGGTCCCAGGGCACTGGTTCAGAACAAGGAAGCAGACGTCGCACTCCTCCCGAGCGTTTAGGGGTTTTGAGGGTGTACTCCAGGAATCCAACCCCTTCCCACCAAGGCCCTAAGCCAGCACGGTGCACCTCCTGAAGACGGGCCGAGTTCGCCACATTCATTACCTGCGCAGTCACGAACACGGCGTTGGGGCTCCGAAAACACTATAAGGCCAGCAGGTCAGTTTTCTGTTGAGAAGGAGATGTGGCTGGATCCTTTGGTGTCCACCGGCTTGGAACCTTCACGACGCATGTGGGGTGAAATCATCCAATGCTTCCCTCTGACAATATTATAGTATTATATTATATAGTATAATATGATATAATATGACCTGATATAATCTAATATAATAGAATAATACCTAAGTGCTGCTAAGCTGCCATGTTGTCGATCTGATCCAAGATGATGCTGAACCAGCCGCCTGAGACCACCGGCAGGGCTGGAAACTCCGGTTAGGGTTTAGGGTTTAGGGTTTAGGGTTTAGGGTTTAGGGTTTAGGGTTTAGGGTTTAGGGTTTAGGGTTTAGGGTTTAGGGTTTAGGGGAGCTGTGGCTAGAAAGCCAGACAGTAGGCTTGGCCTGGTTGCTTCTTTGACGCAACCCTAAACCCAGACCTGGACCTGGACAAACAAAAACATAAGCAGTAGTACTCGTAGCGAGATGACAAACAGCTCAAAAAAAAATGACATATGATAGCAATTATATGTAACTACAACAGTAACAGCAAAGATAATTCAAGACAAAACGTCCAGTATGGATAGGACATTAGCACACGTGGAGATTGCAGGCATAACACTGATGACTTTCGCCGTGTTATTCAGTTCTCGTCATCACCTCAGCTGCGAGCTTTCTGCAAATCCCATTACGGCCGCGTTGAAGAGGAACATCTCGTTAAAGGTGGTGGGCACCTCGAGCTTGCTTTAACTTGCGCAACTTTGAGGCTTTCAAAGCTTGGGGTGTGTCTTAACTTTATGGCGTGTGTTGGCTTTTCGGTTTGTTGTGGGGGACCAGTGGGGGAACACGGCTATGTGGATCGAGCCCTGGGATACACGGAGAAGCTGACCGAAAAAGTCAAGCTTGGCACGGAAGCCTCACGAAACCACAACAAACACAACTCAACCCTAAACCCATCTAAACCGTAAAATTTTATACCCTCAGCTCCTAACAGTCCCGCAAACCGTAGACACTCTCGAACCGTTGTTCCAGTCGGTCGAATCCGATGCCTTGGATTTTCGACGTGGTCGTTGCCACTGGTCGGCTCATGAACAAACGACAACATGTGGGTAGTTTTCAAAAATAGGGTTTTTTTGGGGGTCCGTATTATAATACGGCACCTGGTATTTAGGGTACCCAAAAAGGGACCCTAATTTTGACAACCACCCATGTGGACATCCATCCGAAGCCCATCGAGTCGAGGCTACTGCCTTCCAAAAGCCTACGCTTGCCTAGATTCCACCTGCTGATAACAATGTCATTCATGAATGCTGTCTCACTCCCGTGGCCAAAACTCCACCTCTATTATGGTTCCATTATCCGAACTCCAAAACCCTAAACCCTAAACCGTTACACACCACGCCTGGACCGCACCCTTCTTGCTGGGCTTCTCACCTCAGTGCCCGAGTCACTGCAACCCCTATGCCCTCAGTCAGCGCAAAGGATGGAGAGTTTCGAATCAACCCTAAACCCTAAAACCCTGTTGGTGCCATCGATGGCCGCAGTCGAGCGCAGAAAGTCCGCAATGTGCACTTACTGCTCGTTAAAGGAACGAAAAGAACTTATCAACAATGCATGGATACCATGGGCAATAGGGCGGGTGGAGCCCATCATGAATTCGTTTGCATCCCAGGTCCGCCTGCTGCCGGTACTCTACGCAAGGAACCCTACACTACACTACTAGTCAATTACATAGGACACCTTGTTCTAGGGGTTGGTTTCAGAGTTGTATCAGGGTTCTATAGTGGATCTACTAGCGCTGTCATAAAAAAATAATTGTTCAGCGTTCCTGCATAGGTTCTTAGGTTCAAATACTGCCCCTGGAGCTGGTCCTGTTCTTCTGAGAGCCCAATACCCCTTAAATAAGGAATATACCTCAAATTATCGGGGCCTTGAGAATATGATTTAAGGTATTAAGGAATATACCTTAAATCATCATATTAAGGTCCCTATAGTTTAAAGTATATTCCGTAATTAAGGGGTATTGAGCTCTCTGGGCTCTTCTGGGAGCACTTGCCTCCGCGGCCAGATGCCAGAGACATGCGCCAATATGATATAGTATAATAGAGTATCTTATAATATAATATATAATATTATAATATTATATTATTATATTATTATACAATATAAAATAATATAATATAATATAATATAATATAATATAATATAATATAATATAATATAATATAATATAATATAATATAATATAATGTAATATAATAAAATATAATATAATATAATATAATATAATATAATATAATATAATATAATATAATATAATATAATATAACATAATATAATATAATATAATATTATATGATATAATATAACATAACATAACATAACATAACATAATATAATATAATATAATATAATATAATATAATATATTATAATATAATATAATATAACATAATATAATATAATATAATATAATGTAATATAATATAATATAATATTATATAATATAATATAACCTGACATAATCTAATATTATAAAATAATACCTAAGTACTGCGTGTGGAAACCGTCAGCATGTGAACAGGGCACTGGCGAAACGGTGACTCCACGCAGGAAGCCGTGCAACTTACAGTCTGGTGCACAGGTCGTCACGAGGTGTTATATAGGGGCCTTAATACTTAGAATACGGTTTGCGGGGGTATATCATACTATGATTCTAATAAGGAACCCCCAAACCCTATTCTTAGTATTAAGGCCCCTACATTATTTCAGGAATATCTTCTCCCAGAAGGGGTGATCCAAGCCGACCGTTCAGGAACTCTTCACCGACTGTGACCGGGGCCCAAGAAATGGCAGAGATTGCACTGAAGAAACTTGAAAGGCCCAGTTGTGTCACATCCTAAAACAGGGCGAAGATTTGGCAGCGGCAGGTGCCAATCATGGCGTTGACATTTCATTCTTCGCGAATGCAACTTGTAGAGGAGTGCCGGAAGATTTGAACCTTCTGGCTCAAGGTGAGGGGGGCTCGGGGCTGAAAGTAAAGGTTTTGCTGGCTTTCGGGCGAGCTGAAGCATGTGTTGCAGTAGTTCGGACTCCAGGGGCACTCAGAATTTAAGGCCGAAAGCTCCACAGCCACTCGCACGAGCCCGGCATAGGTCCGAATCTACCACGTTCGGGCAACTTGGAAGCTGACCCTGTCGCGGGATGTCGTCCGGTATCGAGGGCCGACAATGAGAATCATTATGTTATATAGTAGAATACAATACAATATAATACAACAAAATGAAAACTAATATTATATAATGTATGTTCTAAGTCTAGCACCGTACCACAACTCGTGCTAGACCCAGAGATAAAGGGTTGCAAAGGTTGCTAACGCAAGCAGAGTTGCATAAAGCCTCCTTCAAAACGAGCTGTCATTCTGGGGCGCTGGCGGTCTCCCGTCTCGTTCGCCTTGTTCTCCACATTGACATTGTTCCTCCCTAGGCGGTCGACTGGCACCACCATGCCCGACTGTAGTAAGCGTTTAAGCTTGGAGCTTACACGAACTCTGCTTCTGTAGTTCTGGGCGTTCGGTTCTCTGGTCAGACAGCAGAGTCAAACACACAACAAGCAGGACAAGCCTACCTCCCAGAAGGGGCGGAGGATGCCGACACTGTATCAATTTAACCTAGGACCTAGGCTGAAAAGCAAAGTCTGCAGGAACGCTGCAGTGCCTGGGTTCGGACGCTCCGCTTCTGGCAGGTCGTCGTCCATCTGCCGTCATAGTTGCTGTTGGGTTCAGGGTGCACGAGTTCAGGGTTCAAGGGGGGACTCAACTCTGGGACACCCTCAAACCAGACACGAAGGCCAACAGCCCCCCAAGATAGGCAAAAGCCCTACATCCAAAACCTTCAATCATCAGTCTTGAACCCTGAACTACTATGGAGGCCCAATCGACGACATTCAGAGGAGCCCTATCTCTGGCCCTAATACCGGAGGCTTGTGCTCCAAGACCCTGTATAAAATAATATCATGTAATGTGTAATACCAAATCGTATGTAATGTAATTTTAATATAATATGGTATAATAGAATAGAACAGAACCGAACAGTAGCTTACTATTAGACCTTTACTGCCCTAAACCTTTTCCCGTGCTCTGCTGGGCCGCTAAAGTTCTGCTTTGCTTGCGGCCTCTGCGGCCTGCGCAGCCTTTGCTTCCTCTTCGGCGGAGACCTTCCGTGGGCTAAAGGCTAATGGCGTGGGAGGCTTTTCATAGAACATATCACCGTGAGGGGAATTTTCTGAAAGGAGTTAGGGCTTAGGCATCCGTGGTGTGGGCTTAGGAGCTCAGGGTTTGGGTGGCTTGAGTTCTTACGATCTTTAGACCTTTTGGGGCTTTTTAGTGTGGAGGGTGCTTAGGCGGAGGGGGTTTTAAACTTAATTAGGGCGCCCAAACCAGCATCGGAGCAAAGGAAAGGAGGCCGAGAAACTTCTTGGTCACTTCCGCAGCCCAAGACCTAAACACCCAACGTAAAGAAACGGCGTGCCGGGAACCCCAAACCCCAAACGCAACGCTGGAACCCGCAACCCCCAGCCCGAAAACAAAACAATCAACTTCGAACCACAAAGTCTCAAATCCCAAAACCCACAAGCTCTAATATAGAAGCCTCAATAAGAATAGGGTTTGGGGGTATATGATACTATGATGATAACAGGGAAGCCCCCCAAACCCTATTCTAGTTACTAAGCCCTCTACATGAAACCCCAACTCTTTCTTCAACCGAACGGTGCCTTCTTAGTGGCGATGCTCCAGCTCCGCTGTATGAGCCGTATTCTGCTTGCATACTCCCGGCCTTGAGCAAAGGGCCATGAAAGGGATGTAAGGTTTAGGTCTTTCGAGCAAAATGATGAGTTTAGGTTTCAAGGGATCTTCGATCTGAAACGTAGACACTGAACCAGCCTCAGCCATAGACCGCTGGGCAGCAGGAAGGGCACAAGAACCCTGCAGAGGACACTGGGAAAGTTGTCCTCGACGAGGTCTGAGGTTGCTGCGGATGTAGATGTATGCACCGCCGACGTAATTCAGAATGGCCTGGGTGGAAGCATAGTAACCACGGCACGTACGTTACATACACCTCTAGACGCATAAATGTGTTGACGGACAGACAAACAAACAGATAGACCGCAGACGGACAGATAGGCAGATGGATAGGTAGATAGGTAGATAGATAGAGAGAGATATGATGATGATGATGATGATGATGAAGAAGAAGAAGAAGACGAGGATGACGATGATGATGATGATGATGCTGGCGATGGATGATGATGATGATAATGATGATGACGACGATGAGGATGATGATGAGGATGAGGATGAGGATGAGGAGGAGGATGAGGATGAGGATGAGGATGGGTGAGGATGAGGATGATGAGGATGATCACCATCAACACCATGAAAGGCAACACCCTCATCAGCATCGCCAGCATAATCCGCAACAAGCACAAGGATAGCGAGACTGAGAGATTGACATAAACATGATGATGGTGTCACTATGGCAAGGACGGCACCGGCAGAGGCAGTAGATGAGGCCGAAATCACCGTGATCGTCAAGAACAGACAAGCATCAGCAGGAACAGCAGCTACGACTTTGATGAGACCGATCTGATCTCTTGCATCTGACTGTGTGCAACGGGGCTCTGGTGCAATCACGCGACCGACTAAAGTACTTTGAAGTGATTCATGGGACAGGTCATTCTTAAACCCTAAACCTTACACCCTCTCAACCCTACGCTGACAAGCGGCTGTGAGGCCTAGTCGAGCCTTTTCGCTAAATCGCGTACCGAGCTCCTGCAAGAAAGGCGGGAAAGATTGTCAAAACTAGGGTGTCTTTTGGGTTCCTCGAAGGGACCATGATTGTGACAGTTGCCCATAAAGCTCTTTAGAATTGGTCGGATCGGTGGAAATGCGGCGCTGACATCGAGGATCCTACTCCAAGTGTGCTGCGCGTGCTGGCTAACCCCCCCCCCCCCACCCCCACACCCCGCAACAAAAACAAGATCGCCAAGGGAGAAACAGTGATTTCCGGTCGCTGCCTTCAGAGCTCGGTGAACTGGAACCTCCAATCCAAAAAAGCCCTTAAAATCACTAAACACTGAAGCCCTTAACCCAGCCCCAAACCCAAAGCCCTACGGCACGAAGCCCTGCCTTGACCCAAAGTAATAAAAAAAGCTTCTCAAAACCTTTAGGGTTTAGGGCTAAGCCCACAACAGCTAATAATCAGGGCCTGATTCTGTAGGATAGGATTTTCGGGGGGGGGGAGGTATCACATGATACCATGCGGTAATAATGGGAACTACAGCAAGATACTGTTGGCAAGTGTCCCGATACCGAGGTTGGTTGACAGAGGGGTGCTCAGGTCGGTTTTGCTGCCTCTCACCCGGTCTTCAGAGATCCACAGCTTGAATGGGGGGCTGCTGAAATCAGGACTTTACAGTGGACTTAGGGTTTAGGGTGTAGGGTTTAGTATGATAAGGATGCTTCGTGGTTTTGTACGGCTGCTCAAAGGGCTGTGGATGGGGCTTCTTGAGATTTTGAGATCCTTGCTTAGGGGTTTAGGGTTTAGGGCTAAGGGATCCTACGGGGCACGTTCGGAGAGGATCCTTGCGTTGGAGATCCTCTCGTAGGCTTACACAGTCGGTGCCCTGTTTTCTGCAAACCCGAGTATTCGCGGGTGTATTAACGGACTGAAACCGAAGAGCCCAGACTACCATGCCATACCCTAAACTGACCAGGGGTTTTGGTTTAGACGTTTAGGGGTATGGCTTAGAGATTTTGGGGCTTGAAGTAAGAGTTTAGGGCTGAGGGCCAAGATGGTCGGAGTTTAGGAAGGCAACCCCCCCTCGCCCCCCCCGCTCCACGTCAAGCAGTTCGAGGATAGCTTCTCGGAAGATGTCCACTCGAGGGGCGGTTACTTCCTGGAAGGAGGAAGGCTGCCTATCATGGGGTTTCGGGTTTGGTGTTTGTCGTGTAAGGGTTTGAGGGCTTAGGGGCACAGGGGTGTAGGATCTCGGGTCTAGGGTTCGAAATGTCCGAGAAAGGCATCCGAAAATTGACCCTGGAAGCTCGTCCGGGTATGCCATCACGCGACTTAGAAAGACGAATGCAGGGGCCTTGTTAATCCGAAGACGGCTGGGGGCATATCACCCCACAAGTCTAAGAAGAAACACTGAGGAATATTAATACAGATGCTGATGATAACTAATAGTTCATGACTCTCGTGAAAATCAATCATGGCAAATTGCTCTTACTACTCAGTTTTCTATATTAGAGCACCGAGCGTGGTCGGTGGATCCCCTCAGAAGCCCAGCCCGCGAGCAGCAAAGAACTTCCCCAACACTCGCAAGTCTTACCGGTCTCTGCTCCATGTATTACAAGTTGGGGCTTAGGGTTTAAGGCCTAGCAATGACTAGTCGCAGGATTTGGGGATCTATCTACACTATGGCACTATGCCGGGAAGTATGTAATAATTAGGGGTTACCTATCGAGGCTCTCAAGTCTTAAGAACAACCACGAATAACTTGGATTCAGTGGCAGCGGCGGTGGATGCTCGGATACTCAGACAGTTAAGGGAAGTGCCGGATCGTTCATCTCCTCCTACTGCTGCTGTTACGAATCTTACGAATGACATATATTTTACGGCTTCAGCATTAGAAATTACGAGCATGAAAACTGTGCGGATTGCCTGGTCATGAAGTAAATTAAGCAAATGCCGGTGCCAAGAACCTGCACAAAACACCGATCAAACACAAGCAACTGAGGGCAGCACGATGTCAAGGTGCTGGAAACCTAGTGTTTCCACCTCTTCATGGCGAAACTCTGCAATCAGACTCGCAAGCTTGAGCGCTGGCAGGCCCAGAAAGTTTCAGCAATCTCATTGGACACTTTGCAGCTACACCTGTAGTGCAAACTCACAGCAACACCCGACCCAGCCTGGACTTTCAATGTATGCGGCTTCCCGGCTACAGCGAAAATTGAATTCACACCTCGGGGAAGCGACTCGCTGAATTACCTCCAACAGTTTCCCTCTCTTTGGGGCCTTGCTTCCACACCCTAAACCCTAAACCCTAAACCCTAAACCCTAAACCCTAAACCCTAAACCCAAACCCTAAACCCTAAACCCGAAGAAGGGGGGCCAGGAACCTTAAACCATCTTAAACCCGAAGGGGCCCGGGAGTCCTAGAGGTTGGGACTTCGGTGTGAGTCGGAAGGTGAGACTTCACCATGAGGAGCCGCGCATGAAGAGTCTGAGACGTCTATGGGTTTTAGGGCTTAGGGATTTAATGTCGGGGCCTTTTGGGTGTTCTTTTTTAGGATTATAGTATAGTATACCCCTAAACCCTATTCTAATTATTAAGGCCCCTATATTAGGCTTTAGGGTTCAGGGGAGTCTACTCCGCTTGTCGATTCCGCCAAGCTTTTGCTGAAGATCTGGGCTCTGAGACAGCAGCCAAACAAACCGCCCTGACACGATGGTTTGGAGTTTAGGGTAATACAGGGGCCTTAATAATTAGACAAGGGTGTTGGGGCCCAGTATACTATAATCACACTGAGGAACCCCAAAAAAAGTATAAGCAATGAAGGCCCCTATAGTATGTGCTTTTTTGTTGAGACCTCTTTTCTGCCTGCCCATGCAGGGTATGTGGTTTCGGCTTTGGGGTTTAGGGATGAAAGCTTGGTCAAGCCCCTGAACACTAAATCTGAAACCCTGAAACCCGAACCCGAAATTCCAAAGTCCAAACCCCTAAACCCCAAAACCTGTATTATGGTACCCTTAAAGGAACCCTTAGAGGTAACCTTAAAGGTACCCTTAAAGGAACCCTTGAAGGAACCCTCGGAGGGCAGAGACCGCGGCCAGCAGCGAATCTCATTGCGATGACCGACCTCGCTGACTTGCGGACGTGGCGGAAGAATGCGGAGTTCGGGTTTAGGGTTTAGGGTTTGAGGTTTGGGGTTTAGGGTTTTTTTGATTTAGGGGCTTATAGGGCTTAGGGTTTAGGGTGTAGGGTGCTGGGTTGACTGCTTCAGGATTTAGGGGTTTAGGGTTCCTTTGGAGCTTTAGATGCTTGGGGTTCATAGTTCGCGGCTTCTGAGATAAGCTACTTGAGCTGGAGGTCCTGGCCGAATTCTACCCATCCGTACAGCAAGGCCCTTTCACACTAACACCCGAAGCGCCATTACACACGACTAGCCACTGGAAGTGGCAATTTAGAGAAGATTGCTCGGGCTTTCTGAGTCAAGATGTTTGTATGTTGGAGCTCTCTTAGCTGTCTTGGCCATCTTTTACCGGATGTCCACCTACATCTTTTATAACTGCATAATCGGTCGAGATGCCTGGCGGTCTTAAAGAGTTGCTGGAGGCTCGGGGCCGCATCGAAAATCGCCGCGAACAGCGCTTCACCTGCTGCTGGGCAAAGAGAGCGATTATATAACCCATTATATAGTAAGGATTTCATAAGGTATCCTCAAAAAGGAACCACAATGGTCGCTTTGTCCGAGGTAGTGACGAAACTCTGGCACAAGCCAGATTGTGCCGCTTTCGACGGCGGCATGGAGAAGCCGGAGCATGTCGGTGTAGGGGGAACTAGACCTCCCCGAAGTGTTGGCCTCTAATGCTAGCAACATATGGGTAGTTGTCAAAATTATGGTCCCTTTTGGGGTACCCTAAATAATAGGGGCCGTAGTATAATAAGGACCCAAAAAGGGACCATAATTTTGACAACCACCCATATCATATTCTAGTCGTCGTCCTCCCCCTCCTCGTCGACGTCGTCATCGTCGTCGTTGTTGCTGAAGGTGTGGTATTGTTTCTGTTGATGATGAGCCACCTGGGGGCCATCGCCGCAACCAAACGTAGCTTCCAGTATGCTTTGTTATTCAACCTGGCCCTATATGCCGATTGTGATGTCCTGTTCATGTCTTCCTCCCCCAAAATCGGGCCGGTTGTGACATGTCCCGCTGCGCCCCAGACGAGGGGTCAGGGGGGGAAGAGCAAGGCTCTCCGTGTGATTGATCCCTGTGAGTGAAAGATTAGT